TTCAGTGCGTAACTCAACATCGTGCAGAAATGTTTTGAGAAAATGAATGAATGGACAAATCACATGATAGATCCCTCGCAAAGACCGTATAATTTAAGCATTTGTGGAAAACTAATAGGGATTAGAGACCACAATGCAACTGCGCTGTGGCCATTATGAGCCCATTGATCTGAGCTGTAGTGTGTTAGCCGCGTAGCTTAGCGTAGGTACAGGAACATGTTTTAAATACTTGCCTAATTCATACTTTCATTCTGTTTTACTATTGATTTGAAGTTATTTAGAAAAATCCATATCGCGATACATCAATATTTAGAAATAGTCACAGATCCACACGTTTTACAAACAGTAGCATGAGGCTAAGAAGCTCATTTAACAAACAATATTTAATAAATGCAAGACAAATAATGTGGGTTTTTTTATATAATGGGGTTTAGAATTTGATAAGGGACTATAAGCCTATACCAAACTACTCAAATCTACAAACTCACCAGCCCTGGTTTTTCTTAGACCTAATAAACATGAATAGTGATAGAATCAACAAAGCTGCCAGAGAGATCCGTGATAACTTTTTATTTATTAGTAACAAAATACATTGAATGAGACAATGTTACAGCCTATACCAGGGGTGTCTAACTCATTTTGGTCATGGGCAGAATGAAAATAGGAACTGGTCAGGTACCGAAAGAAAAGAAGGGATTTCTTTGTCTTATAAATGTATTCTGACATGACTTTAATGTGATTTGAGTTTCACAATTATTTTCTGGTGGATTTTTCTGAAAACAAAATGGGTTTATTGTTTAGATTTAACCAAAACTGGACTAAAAATTTGACTTCTACTGATGTGTTGGGTTAACAAATGTGGTTGTTTGGTGGTATCTTTTTGCTGGTTTTTGTTGTTGCTGGGATCCCCCGGAGTTTGTGTTTGTATGTCAGAATGTGATACAAATAATAATATTTTTTTTTAAATGTGGTTTCTGAGAAAATAGATGATATAAGCTGCTAAAAGGGCGACAGTAGCTCAGTTGGTAGAGCATTGGCCTTTAGGCCTGAAGGTCGTGGGTTCAATTCCCACCATGATACCTTCTCCACCGACTCCCACTGATGACTGCTGTCGTTGTGTCCTTGGGCAAGACACGTAACCCCACTTTGCCCAAAGCCCCCGCTGAGAGATCATGGCTATGCTCACACTCAGAGAGCAGCCGTCCTCCTGTGGACTCACCACCTGCAGAGGGTCAGTGAGGGGCTGGTGCTATGAGACTTGGGTGGCATCTCTGACTGCCACCCCCCGACCCAGAAATGGATTAAGGGGTAGAAAATGGATGGATGAAGCTGCTAAAAATTATTTGGCCACAATCCTGAGTTTGACACGCCTGCCCTATAAAATCAAACCTATAATGTATCCCACTGTTATTTTTGCACTCTTCAGTATCAACATGACGCCAATCATTTCCACAGCAGCGTTTCGATACCTCTGATGCGTTGCTATAATAAACTTCATAACTGCTCTTTTACAGTGGAAATGAGGGATCAGCCAAGTTCACCTTCTGAAGGATTTACGGAATATTTTGTCTTCTGCCATGAACATCAGTCCTGCACATCAAACCCCATCCTCACTTATTAATTCAACGGTTGAAAGTGATGTTCAAGGCCTACACATTAACCATTCCCTTCTGTATATTAATTAACTAATGCGGTGACGCCGACGGGTCTATCCAATATGTAGAATTGACGCTCACAGATGAAAGACGGAGACTTTCTTTTTTTTTTGTGTGTGTGGATATGACAAGTTTTTTTTATTTTTTTATTTTTTTATTTAAAGGGACAATGCATATTAATTAACATGTAAATGTAAATATGCCAGAATTAGCCAATGGCTACTTTCCATCTGTAGTCCCTGGCAGATCAAGAAAATACAAAGACTAATATACGACATTTAAAAGACAAAAGATCATCACACAAATCATCCACACAATTAAACTGGAGACATAAAACAAAGATACTGGTCAGTGGTTACATGTCTGATTCCCCTTCAGCCAACCTTTAAGTTTAGTTTTAAATACTATGAATGTAGTACAGTCTCGAATTTCTGCTGGGATGCTGTTCCATACCGTGGTCCCTTTCACTGACAGCACCTGTTGACTAAACACTGTGCGTCTATAAGGAACCACACAGTCACTTCTGGTGGTGGCTCTGGTCACTCTACCACTTGTACTGGATATGAACTTAATGAATTCATTCAAGGATGGTGGAGAGAGTCCATGCAAAATCTTATAAACTGAACAAGCCATTTTAAATGTTCTAAAATTTTTAAAGTTTAGAATATTATATTTTTCAAGTATTAAGCAATGATGAAATGAATATGGTTTTTTATCAAATATTTTTAAAGCTTTTTTATATAGAGACTCAATTGGTTTTAAAGTAGTCAGACTCGTCAGTGACCAGTTAGTAATGCAATATTCAATATGTGAAAAGATCATACAATGAAGAAACATTTTAGCTGCATTTTCTGGCAGTAATGTTCGGATTTGTCTAAAATTACGAAGATTAAAATTTACAATTTTACACATATGCTTAACATGATTTTTAAAAGATAACGTTGAGTCTAAGATAACACCAAGATATTTAAACTTGTCCACAATCTGTAGCTCCTCACCTTTTATAAATACATTTGAGCTTATTCTTGCTGTTGGGCGTTTGGAGAAAAACATACACACAGTTTTCTTTGAATTCAGTAAAAGACAAGACTTACTGAGCCACTCATCAATGCAACACATTGCTGAAGTCAATTTTTCGGAGACTTCGGCATTAGATTTTGCATTGTTAAAAATGACTGCATCATCTGCATAAAGCTGGGTATGGAAATGTGGACAAATATTTGGTAAGTCATTAATATATAATGAAAACAGTATGGGTCCAAGTATGGAACCCTGTGGAACTCCAACCTGACAGTTTAGAAACGTAGATTTGATACCACTGACTGTCACACAATGAGTTCGAGTTGACAGGTATGACTTCATCCAAGTTACGGCTTGTTCTGAGAAATTAAACTTTGTTATTCCAGATAATAAAATTTGGTGGTCAACTGTATCAAATGCTCGCTTTAAATCAAGAAAAACAGCTCCAACAACAGGACAATAATCTAAACCATGTTTCACTTTTTCTAAAAACAGATTTATCGCACTTTCTGTTGAGTATTTGGCACGAAAACCAAACTGCATGGGATGCAGAGGCGTATGACCCTTGTCTAAATGAGTTGTCAATTGTTTAGCAACCCATTTTTCAATAATTTTTGAAATAATGGGCAAAATGCTAATTGGCCGGTAATTATTTACATTATTCTTATTCCCTGACTTAAAGATTGGAGTAATTGTGGCAACTTTCCAAGCTGTTGGTACAATAGAATGTCTAATTGATATATTTATCATACGAGTTTTTTCAATGCTGGTTTTCATTTTCACCTGTTTTGGTTGAGTGTGTTTGAAAAATAAATGGTAGTTTCACACCAATAAGAAAATATGATGATATTTCCAGAAAGTATAGAGGAGAGTTCTGGAAATGATGACATCACAGTGGCGGAATCTCTAACGTGATGTCATTAATCACAACCAGGAAGTGTAATTATAAATCAAAAAGGTATGTTCAAACAAACACAAAATTAACCAATATCTTAACACAATCAGCCGTGTACGCACAAAAAAAATTGTATATAATATATACATCGCTAAAAAGTGAGTCTCCCCTCCCCTTTAATAATTATTTTCCCCAATCTTGATATTCTTATTGTACTTGAGTTATATTATGTTGCACTATATTTATTCCGTGATATATCTATATGATTCAACTGGGATAACATTTGTAAAATCTTTAGCAAAGTCTTAAATGCAATGACATACAATAGCAGTGTCATCAAATCTCTGTATACAACATAGACTGTAAATATTAATGGACAGAGTCACGCCTATCTCCGCTGTTCAGACAAATGTGCCAAAAAATTTGCTCTACCGGAGCTATCCAAAATGGCAGCGAGTGGTCCCGCCAACAAGAAAATTGTGAAAAATACGTATCTGCGCATGCGTCAGCCGGCGCGAGCCTAATTCATTTAACGAGAGACTTCAAAAATTCACAGCAGCTAAACTGGAGTGGTCCAAAGAAATTCACTCCCCTCAACAGTGACACACATGTGGAACGGGCCAACTTTTGGTCCATCCTGTAAAGACATTTTTGAGAGGTCTGCCAATGCTATATGTTAGCATTGGCTAATTCTTCTTCTGGGTCCACCCCCATTGGCCCGGGGTGGTATTGCAAGCATGTCAGCGCACGTCATTTTGGCCACTTTTGAGCCGGGACCCGCCCCCACTGGCATTCAAACACAACATTCATGGTGTGGACCTTTTTGTTGATTATCTTGACCTGGTTTTATTTAGATAAATCTTCATTCTCTTGTTGTTTCAGCTTCACTTCCTGTCTGTCCTGTTTATTGTTTGTGTATTTTGTATTTTCTTGTCGGTCCATTGCTTTTCTCCCCGTCCATGTCTTCTCCCTGGTTTCAGTTTTTACTTATGGATTGCTTTTCCTTGAGGCATTTATTAAAAAATAATGTTTTTGCAGTTTAGCTTTGGCATCTGTCCTTGTTTTATCGCATGACAACAACAACTGCAGTAAAAAATGGGATGTTTTAAAACGCTTACGGTTCAAACACAGGTACACACCCCCAATGCTTGGAACATTTAGATCATTTCATACTTTCACACATGTACGGCTATTTTTGACTTGCCTGGGAACTCTGTCTCCATGGCACTGAAGGAAATCGTGTTAACCCTTAAATGGTTTCTGTGTCCTGGGAGATACAGACATTTGGCAGGCTGTAGGGGGGAGGGGCATTAAGTATCTGCACTAAATATCATGAGAAAGTCTTAAGGGGGGATGGGTCAAGTACCCAGGTCATGTGACTTTATTGCAGCATTCAAAACTAAATTGATACATTTATGTCACACTCTAAAATGGCTGCCTACATGGACAGAGACACGGGGCATGAGGTAAGTGTTGTTATTTTTCTTGTTAATTATGTTTTGGGGGGATTTGTTTTTGAAAATATTGTTCTTTAAGGATAATTTTATGTATTCTTGTTGAAAAATAATGAATTACATTTACACAACTTTGATAAACAGGCATTGAATGTCTGTATCCTGGGGGATACGTTGCCCAGATAGGGGTATATAAACAGGCATAATCACTCTCAGATATACTTATGTTTTGAAGCCTATACTCTACAGATAATCAATAATTTAAAGGTGTTAAATGTTGATTACACTACATTTTACTCTTAAATGTGTATTACGGATTAATTTACCTGCGTACATATGTTTTCAGGGAATTTCTACCAGTACTTTCTATGGTACAAGAAAGAGAGAGGTGGCATCTGTTGTGTTGCCACCTGATGGTTCATCTGATTCAGATGAAGATGAGGGAACCAGTGAAGATGAGGAAGATGAATTGTATACAGAGGGCCAGTGTCAGGACAGCAGCAGCAGCAGCAGTGACGATGAGGCAGAAGAGGGAGCAAACCACAGTAAAAGAGGGAGGATGTTCAGGTAATGATTAGAGTAGTATAGTGAATTGTTATGTAAAAGATCCAACTATTTTGGTGTAGATATTGTACGTACAGCATCTGTCTGCAGCAAACATGATGTGTTGTATGGTCATGTGTGTTAGTCTCTCTCACTCGCACACGCAGGAATGCATGTACACACGCACGAACGTGCGCACACACACTAACATACGCGCACACACACACACACACACACAGGAGTTTAAAAATATAAAGATTTTGGTGGTTTGTATTGGCGATTGGGGGAAGGGGGTGCCTGTTTTTTCACAGATATTTTTTTCCTTTTCAATAGGTGGAGAAAAACTAAATTTGAGCACCAGTCTACTGCTACACCAAGTTGCTTCACTACACCAGATGAGCTATCCACGCCATTAACATACTTCTCCAAATTCTTTGATGAGGACATCTTTGGGACCATTGCTCACCAGACGAACTTGTATTCATGTCAGCTCATTGGAAGTAGCATCAACACTGATGCTTCTGAAATCAAAGCATTCATTGGAATGAAGTTGATGATGGGTGTAGTGAAAATGCCTGCAGTGGAAAACTACTGGGCAACAGATACTAGATATGACAAAGTAGCAGATGTCATGCCACTCAAGAGGTATAAATGTTTGTCCAGGATGCTCCACTTTCAAGATAACATGAGCTCTGATTCCAGTGAAGATCGCCTGGCGAAAATAAGGCCTGTACTTGACCACATGAGGGGGCAGTGTATGGAAATTGAGAGTGAAAACCAATTCTCAATTGATGAAATGATGGTACCATACAAAGGCAAAAAAGCTGGAAGTCTGCGGCAGTATCTACCCAGCAAACCCAAGAAATGGGGTTTCAAGATCTTTGTGCGAGCTGGTGTGCCTGGCTTTGTGTATGACTTCATGGTTTACACAGGGAAGTCTACATTTGATGGTGCTTCTCTCTAGACAAAGAGTTTGGGTTATGTGGAAATGTGGTTCTGCAGCTGCGCAGAACCATCAGAAATCCCTCCAACTGCGTTGTCTACTTTGACAACTTTTTCACATCCCTGAGATTGATAACTCATCTAAAGGAGTCTATGGGCCTCAGAAGTTTGGGTACCATTCGAAAGAACCGCTTGATGGGTTGCACATTGGAAGAAGATCGAGACCTCCTACGAAGAGGAAGAGGCAGCTTTGACTTTCGTGTAGACAACGATGCAAAGCTTGCTGTGGTCAAATGGGCAGACAACAAAACTGTCACCTTGGTGAGCTCCTGTGCTTCTGTCAGCCCAGTTGGCCAAGTGAGACGCTACTCCAAAGAGGAAAAGAAGAAGATAAGCGTGCCATGCCCAAAGATTGTATCTGAGTACAACACTCACATGGGAGGAGTAGATTTGGCTGATATGATGATTGCCCTCTATCGCACTCCAGCCAAGTCACATCGATGGTACCTGGCCATATTTTGGCAGATGGTTGACATTGCTGTCAATAATGCCTGGCTTCTCCATCGTCGTGATGCAGCCCAACTGGGTCAGAAACATCATTGCCTGAAGGTCTTTAGGTTGGATGTTGCCAAAGGACTCATCTACCCTGAAAAGCAAAAAAGGGGTCGCCCCTCCAAAGGAAACGAAGACAACACACCACCAAGAGTAATCAAACAGCCAAAAGTCCCCAGGCCTGTGGATGATATGATATATGACAGGATTGACCACTTCCCTATCGTGTCAGTGAAAGGCAGATACAGGATGTGCCAGGATGGACAGACCTCCATCGTGTGTCAGAAGTGCAAAGTGAGGCTTTGCATTGTCACAGGCCAAAACCCTCGCAACTGTTTCCACAGCTTCCACTGCCAGTAAGCTATTTCTAGTGTAGGAGCTCCACAGGAGAGATGTTTGCATAAGAACAGTAATAATGTTAGTAGCTCGTTGTTTATTCAAAGTTAGATTTGTTTCCAATGACTTGTGTTCAGTTTTTCCCCCACTTTTTTAAACTTTGTTTACAAGACATGAAAAAAGTAACTAATTAATTGCTTATAATATGTTTTAAAAGTTTACAAATGAAATATTTGAAAATGTTAAATTTTTACCCTAAACGGGCAATGTATCCTGGGAGATACAAACTTTAAAATGAAAAATAAAGGTCATATTCTGAAAAAAATCATGAAATTGTGTTATTTTAGCCTAGAAACATTAGAAAATAGCAATTAATTATTTTTCCAAAGTTTTTATATGTGCTTGCCCATTTAGATTTGATACCACTGACTGTCACACAATGAGTTCGAGTTGACAGGTATGACTTCATCCAAGTTACGGCTTGTTCTGAGAAATTAAACTTTGTTAGTCTAGATAATAAAATTTGGTGGTCAACTGTATCAAATGCTCACTTTAAATCAAGAAAAACAGCTCCAACAACAGGACAATAATCTAAACCATGTTTCACTTTTTCTAAAAACAGATTTATCGCACTTTCTGTTGAGTATTTGGCACGAAAACCAAACTGCATGGGATGCAGAGGCGTATGACCCTTGTCTAAATGAGTTGTCAATTGTTTAGCAACCCATTTTTCAATAATTTTTGAAATAATGGGCAAAATGCTAATTGGCCGGTAATTATTTACATTATTCTTATTCCCTGACTTAAAGATTGGAGTAATTGTGGCAACTTTCCAAGCTGTTGGTACAATAGAATGTCTAATTGATATATTTATCATACGAGTTTTTTCAATGCTGGTTTTCATTTTCACCTGTTTTGGTTGAGTGTGTTTGAAAAATAAATGGTAGTTTCACACCAATAAGAAAATATGATGATATTTCCAGAAAGTATAGAGGAGAGTTCTGGAAATGATGACATCACAGTGGCGGAATCTCTAACGTGATGTCATTAATCACAACCAGGAAGTGTAATTATAAATCAAAAAGGTATGTTCAAACAAACACAAAATTAACCAATATCTTAACACAATCAGCCGTGTACGCACAAAAAAAATTGTATATAATATATACATCGGTAAAAAGTGAGTCCCCCCTCCCCTTTAATAATTATTTTCCCCAATCTTGATATTCTTATTGTACTTGAGTTATATTATGTTGCACTATATTTATTCCGTGATATATCTATATGATTCAACTGGGATAACATTTGTAAAATCTTTAGCAAAGTCTTAAATGCAATGACATACAATAGCAGTGTCATCAAATCTCTGTATACAACATAGACTGTAAATATTAATGGACAGAGTCACGCCTATCTCCGCTGTTCAGACAAATGTGCCAAAAAATTTGCTCTACCGGAGCTATCCAAAATGGCAGCGAGTGGTCCCGCCAACAAGAAAATTGTGAAAAATACGTATCTGCGCATGCGTCAGCCGGCGCGAGCCTAATTCATTTAACGAGAGACTTCAAAAATTCACAGCAGCTAAACTGGAGTGGTCCAAAGAAATTCACTCCCCTCAACAGTGACACACATGTGGAATGGGCCAACTTTTGGTCCATCCTGTAAAGACATTTTTGAGAGGTCTGCCAATGCTATATGTTAGCATTGGCTAATTCTTCTTCTGGGTCCACCCCCATTGGCCCGGGGTGGTATTGCAAGCATGTCAGCGCACGTCATTTTGGCAACTTTTGAGCCGGGACCCGCCCCCACTGGCATTCAAACACAACATTCATGGTGTGGACCTTTTTGTTGATTATCTTGACCTGGTTTTATTTAGATAAATCTTCATTCTCTTGTTGTTTCAGCTTCACTTCCTGTCTGTCCTGTTTATTGTTTGTGTATTTTGTATTTTCTTGTCGGTCCATTGCTTTTCTCCCCGTCCATGTCTTCTCCCTGGTTTCAGTTTTTACTTAAGGATTGCTTTTCCTTGAGGCATTTATTAAAAAATAATGTTTTTGCAGTTTAGCTTTGGCATCTGTCCTTGTTTTATCGCATGACAACAACAACTGCAGTAAAAAATGGGATGTTTTAAAACGCTTACGGTTCAAACACAGGTACACACCCCCAATGCTTGGAACATTTAGATCATTTCATACTTTCACACATGTACGGCTATTTTTGACTTGCCTGGGAACTCTGTCTCCATGGCACTGAAGGAAATCGTGTTAAGCTGTGATAGCCAGAGTGGATCCACGAGAAAAAGCATCTGAGACATTGTTTCTTCGAGGTGAGATTCTTTGCCTGTTTAAACCTGTATGAAGGTCTATGAAGGTCTATGCACGGCGGCTTAGATCGAATCTTCCGACTATTGCCAATGAATCTTCATGTTAGTACAAGAATCTTCTCGGAGTGTGGTTTCATGCTTGAAATCATGTTAAGATCAAAGACAAATCCAAATGCATTTCTCAATACGCCTGATGAGATGGAACTGGATCTTAATATGTCAATCTAGAGCGCTAAACATCAAAAAGCCACCATCGAGATCGCTGTTAACTATAACGTGTCTCATCAAACATATGTCGTTCTAATATAGCACCATGTAAACTGGTCTCTTACAATCAGTAATACTATATGCACTTATTGTTCAGTGAATGATGGATGAAACCATTTTTTGGAAAGTTAAAGGTGACTTCGTGTTGCTTGGAATGCTAATGTGTCTATAGCAGTAGAATATAGAACATCTACTGTAAATAGGTCATGTTCATTTTCAAGAATTCTGTTTCAGTTGGAGGGCAGGCGCCAATACAAAATCAATGGGAAAGAACATATTTTTAAAAGAAATGTTTTCCCTGATCATTATTTTGTAGTGATTAGATTCACAAACGCGACATACACTATACCTTCTATGTCTGAAGGTACTTTTTTTCTGATATGGTCATCCTTACTGGCAAGAGCATATGTTTCCGTGGTAACCTTAGGGACATGCAAAACTAAAACCTCAAGCCAAACCTTATGAAAGTAAAGTCCGACTTGGCAATGCTTTCTGAAAAAAATATCAGTGAAGCCATGGAGCCAGTGTCAAGAAACGTGTTATATGTTTCCTCTGTGCGTCGTAAAATGTGAGCATAGACAAGAGAAAAGTATGCCAAGGTTTCCGCTAGAAAATTATTTATGAGGGCTATAGTAAGTGTTATCACCCTTCATTGTGTATTAGCTTATGGTCCAGTGGATAGGATTGGTTACCCATAGTTACACAGCCAGAAATGTATTCCCAGACAAGACCTGAATTTTTTTTGCAATTTATATATTGTGTCCCCAACAAAGCTGAAACCAAACTGCCTACTGGACATATTTACGATACAGGAATAGTTAATTTGTAATGACAAAGAAGATGTCAACAGTTTTTGATTCGGAAATTGGCCCTGGTCTTTTGATTACCATAGTTACCAGAAAATATTTGGCTCTCCACCAACTTTGAACCATAGGCTCTTTGGAATGGTAAAATGTCACATAAACACACTCTGATTTTTTGCCGCAACAAGCATTTTTAACACTACATTGAGTTTGTGTATTGTTTGACTGGGATTCTCCTGCTTTGCTATTAATGTATTGTTTACTATTGAAATGGAAAATGCATTCAATATTTTATTACATCTTCCACCTGGGCATAACGATGGTGCTGTCTTTACATTATTCAGACATTTTGCTTCTAAATTCAAATAATGTCAGATATAATGTATAGAGCTGTTAGGAAATGATAACGACAAACGGTAAATCCAAATTAAGATTTAAACAGTCCAAATCATTTTCTGCCACTTAACCAGCTCCGGCTCTGGCAGAGGACGTCCCGGCTGCACTGGCCATGGACCATTGGTGATTAATTGCATAACTAATGGGCTTCACCAATACGATGACTTATATCGGCTTTAATCGCAGGATATATAGTCACCATTAGACTCAAGTTGTATGGCAAAATAAGACTATGTAAGTTCATAGGTTGACGATTTCATCCAACTTTAGAAAACAATCCTGTCCCATACTTGAATCGACCAAAATGAATAGTTTATATACAGACTGGTTATTCCAAAAGCGTCCAAAGAGATTATATGTGCTTCTAAACATCAGTCATAAAGCTTTGAAATGTTTCCCAGGATATAGGCAACAGAAGAGCGATACAAAAATAATTGAAAGAAAATCTTTTCCCCCCGAACGATGTTGAAGCAAGGCTCGCACTAAGCCACAGATATATTTTTTTTTAAACTGGAATCCCGAGTCCAGACTAAACCTAATTTCTCCTGTGTTTGCGGGAGTTTTAAGGTGGCTTAGAGCTACATCCCTCATCTCCCCACACGCAAGTCCATAAATATGCAAATGGTGCACAGTTAAGCAAGGGAGAGGAAAGCAGGTGCAGGAGGGGCAGATGTGAGCAGCTGACACAGCAAATGGAGATCTCCCTCTTGAGCATTCGCGAGATCCCACTGCTCTCTGATCTCTGCCTGCAGCAATCATACGAGATAAAGCCATAGAAAAGGCATTGGCAGTAACACTAGTGAGATGTAGGCTGCCCTGTTCTAGACTGGGCCTGCAGCTGGCTATTGTTAGAGTTACCTTCAGGGAGTTTTGAACATGCCAAGCTCCAACACCTGGCCTCTATAAATCCTTTATCGGGGCTGTCCTAAACCTCCTGAGCCGTTTCCCCAGCGCTGTGCCCCCTCACCCCACAATCTATTTAAATTACACCCTCCTGTCGTCCTGTGCGGTTTATGCTTCATACCAAAATGCTTCGTCCAATATTTTAACTCTACAGCCAGATTTAGCCATTCTGCCCCAATGGGAACCCTATGATCAAAAGCTGCATGGCTTGGCTGAATTAGCTTGAGAAAGAAGAAATGCAGAAGAAATAGTGCAATGACTTTCTGTTCATAACTGCAGAACAGATTTATAATTTCTCTTGTTGAAAAGTGACCATGAGATATTCTGGAAACCTGCATGTATCCGTGGGCTCTTCATTTTCAAGGTACAGATATGTAGAAGTGAAAAGAGGAATTTCCGGAGCCACAAAAGCAGAAAAATACAGGATAACTCAAACACATATAGTGGAAATACAACTTTATGACTGCATACAAGCTTATACTAAATAAGTCCCATTGAAAACCATCGATCCTTCAGGGCGTCTACAATCCTTCCAATTTACCCAAAACCACAATGATCACGTGAAACTTGAAAGTACAACCCCAATATCTTGCATCGCCTCCACTAACACCTCACATAGACCACCTCTTCCCAGACTTCAGCACATCCTATCTTCCCCGTCTGTGCCCTTAATCCACAGAAAGGCATATCACTATGTCCAGATCGTGTGGGTTGCGAAAACACCAGCGCCATTATCTCCCCCATCTGCCTGCATCTCTCCTGTCTGCATCTCCCGTGACTGTGCACGTCCACGCACTGTGCAACTCTCCCAAACCAGGCACGGCAGCCGGCGATGCGACAGGAGGGCGAGGGGGAAAGTCATTAAACAGAGCCATACCTTTGTGGGTGTCTTCAATTCTGTCCTGCAAACGCTCTTGTCTGTGCTTTTTCTCCGCACTTTCCTGGTAAAGAACTCCGCTGACCAATCAATACGTTCAATAATCCTTCACTCACACAAAATAAGACGTGGTATCCAGAGTTTGGACCAGATGCGGCCACTCACACGAGCATCCGACGAAGCGGGTAGAGTCTACAGAAAGGAACGGTCTTGGTGCAGTTGGAGGAATCCAGAAGGCGCCGGGGATCCGCTGGGACAGTGGGAGCGCGGACGAGGACTCATCTGCGACCCGCATGAAGGTTTCTTTTGAGTTACAAAGAGTATCCAATAGTTTTTTGCTCTGAATCTTCTATTCAGTCAAGGAAAGAAACATGAAAAGTAGGAGTGGGGAGGATAGCAGAGCTGCTCCAAAGACCGTCTTTCAAACGCTCTTAGCTCCCCTCCTTCACGCTTTTATTCCAATCCCAGCATCACATCAGAGTCGTCTATATTCCGTCTGCATCGGTCATTTGTCCGTGTGAACATGTCTTCTTTTAACTGTAGTATGGTCTTCTGTCGCTCTCAGCTTTGCGCAATTAAAACGCACTCAAATAAAAAGAAGAAAAAAAGAGAAAATTAGAAAAAAGTAAAAGCGATGAAGCCGTTACAGATACAGCCGCTGCGCTCGCTCCATGAGCCCCTTAAGTGACTTTGTCCTGACCTCTCTTATGTCCGCGGTGAGCCGCACAGCCGCCTCCAGACAGAACAGAAACAGACGCAGAATTCCAGGAGAGTTTCTCCCGACACTTCCTCCGCCTGACGCTCAGCCGTGCGCCGTGTCTTCCTGCGTCTGTCTCTTCGCTCACTTTGGCAGTGTGTGGCGGTTTGTCCCGAGAGGCACTACGCCTACCTCCTGCTGCTGTCCAGTCCAGTGCGCGTGTTTGCGCGTGTGTGCGCGTGTAGGCTCCGTGTGAGACCCGCTCAGTCTGCTGGCGGCACCGCGCAGTGAACACTGCTGAAGGCGCGCAGCGTCACGGCAAAGCGCGGGGCGTGTGCCTCACAGAGGAGGTGTCTCTGACTCCACAAGCGCACACCGGCAAGGCTTCTCAAGCAGAGGTGTGCAGGCTGAACAGGTCTGCCCAAACAGTTGGAACAGAGCACAGCCTGCATTGATTGGTGGACTGCTGAACTGTCTCCTACTGCTTCTGTAGCCTTTTGGACAATGACCTTTGAATGTTGTTCAAGTCATTGACGCTGAATGGTTTGGGCTGGATTGAAAGTGTCAAACAGCTATAGCATAAATGCACTTCTTAAGTTGTATTCTTTATCTCCTGCCTTTTCCCCTCATCAGACCATTTAATGAGTAAAAACATGTGTTTGAAAGCTGCTCTATGTATGCTTTCTATTTATCTCATAATTTGTTATTGTTTATCTTGTGTGACAAGCGTTAACCTCTTTATTATTAAGGAAAGAAATGCCCCACACACTACACTGCAGGTTCAGGCTGATATTAGTATAATCATGTTTGTTTGAATCAGTAGCTTGATCCAATAACCTCTGAGAGTATATCCTATGCGGGTATAAGCTCCCGAGGCTGCCAGCCAGGCTGGGAGTGCAGAAACTAATAAAAGATAAAAAATAATAGCTAGGGGTAATCATAATGGAACAAATAGATTAGAACGCACATATACTGTAGGAGTAACCGTAGGCTATTTGTCCAAGGTCGAAAGTCACTTAATAAATGGACGGCAGCATGATACGAAACGATATCAGATCATTTAGAGACATTTCATCAATCAATCAATCAATAAAATTTTATTTATAAAGCGCTTTTCATACAAAAGATGCAACACAAAGGGCTTTACAGTTTGGTTAAAAACAATCCCGCCGACCCAAGACCCCTCCCCCAGACCACCCAACAGACCCACCCCGAACCACAGACAAACACACACACGCGCTCATGAACAATAATACACACACACACACACACACACACACACACACGCACACACCAGTAAAACAATAAAACCATGATCATCAGTCCCTGTTTAGTCCAAACTTCTTTTTATGTTGTTTTGCTTGGGGAAATAGTTGGATGTAGTCTTGTATTCATTGATGGGGCTGGTCCAGAATGCAAGTTGTGGCTTTGGCAATGGAACTTGTAAAAATAAAAATAAACCAGATTCTAAAAGCAAAAGCCAAAACATTTGAAAAATAGCCATTGAAAAGTCGAGCCCACTAACAGCCCCTGGTGAAAGCACATCCAACCCGCGCTGCTGATAAAACACACACTATGGAAAGCCCCAGATCTCTGAGGTCAGTGTGGGGTAAGCAGGTTTTCAGTCTAAATACAACCCGAAGGAGCCATTAGACGGAGCTGCGAGCTGTGGGGTTATAGGTGAATAGAGAAGCCAATTAAGTACAGCTCTCCGGAAAATAATGATTGAGTTTTATCCATTTTGTGTTGGAAATATTATGATGATTTAAAGTGTGTGTGACAGGTTAGACCAGCAGTAACCGTGTACTGTTTGTTCCGCCCTTTTGGGAGGAATATAGTGATCTTTTTCTGGCTTACATAACTCTGTGGGTTAGTAGGTTACTCATTTAACATACATATAGAGAAAACATGGAGAGATATATGAGATTTGACTACATTCATGTCCTGTTTGGATAATATACTAATTTATAATGTTGCTTACTGCTTGGAGATGAGCAGATATGATAACTGAACAAACCCTACCTCAATGGTAACCAGTTAAACAGTGGCCAGGAAATATATTTAGATTAATATTAGATTTATTTGATCTATTTTACCGTTTAGGTGAGTTTGAGTTTTGGTTTTTTCGTTTAAGGACACAAAATATATGCAATATTGTCTATTGCAAATGCTGCTTATTGTTAAGTGATGCCCTCCAGTGGTTTCATAGTTTGGAGGTGCACCACAGTGAGATGACCAGAAATTGAGCAATAGTATTGTCATTGTCACTACATTCAGTAAATTGTAAATCAGCAAACTATGAAGAGAAGCAGGGATAAGGAAGGCCACTAAAATTAATAACATGAATTAAAAGTGCTATGAACTGTGAACTGTGATTAATTGTGTATTTACAAACCTGCTAAAAAATGTACAGTGTGAAACGTTTGCAAAGTCTGGATCAGGGAAAATACGAGACAAGCTTCTACTCTGACAATTTTCAAATCCAGGTTAAAAAAGTCTATGTCTGTATCTTCAATCTTATCAAGTTTTGTTCCTTGTATGATTTTAACATAAATTCTTGTCCTGTTCAGCACTTGTAGTGGTCCTATGAACTGTGTTATACAAATAAGCATGCTGTCTAAGCCCGTCCGTCCGTGTAGGAGCAGATCCCTTTCTCAAATGTGGGTCGCCCTGAGGTTTCTCACTTTTTTTTCCTTGCCGATGCAGGAGGGTCTGTTGGGCCGTGTCCAACTAGAAGGACTGAGGTGATGATCCAGGACACTTTAACATTCTACAACATGTATGGACATTTATCAACATTCATGGACATTGGTCTCTCCCTATGGACCAATTCATATGTGTATAATGTGTGTCTTTGTTGATTATCGGATCGGTGTTGGTGATTTCAATGGTTTTGTTAAGTCCTCCGAGATGACTTCTGTTGTGATGTAGGGCTAAACAAGAATAAGTTGTTGGTGTTGTTGTTGTTGTTGCTGTATCCTGCCTTGCCTTCGTTTATCTAATGAAAGAAAAGTAAGAAAGAAAAACGTTGTTCAATGTAATTTGTATGAAGCCAGAATTACCGTATAAAAAGTGTCCTGGATTATGCAGTTCATTCAGAAATTGTGCTATTTTGGCATCTAAAGTGTTAAGTCTGCCAATACATTGTTTATGTATGTGTTTGATAGATGTTTAAGAATATTTTTGAGCCAGTTTTGTATCATAAAATAAAGTTTGGAAAAAAATCTAGAAAAATAAAACCTTAAAAAGCCCACACTTTTCAATGACATCTTACAGTGGAGCTCTGTTATATTGTGAAACAGCGAGTCATATCCAGTGCTACAAGCCTGCTTCTCAGAACAAAATGGCTTAGACTTTGGCAGCACAATGATCAAGACAATGAGGAGACAGACAGTGGAGCAGAGGGAGGGGAAGAGAGGCGGGAGCAGCCTGCAGCCAATTCAGCACCACGGACAGCGCCTGCACTCGGATTGAGCAGCACAAGGCCGGAACAAGCCTTATCCGCCCAGAGAAAAGCCAGAAGCCCTCCACAACATGCTCTGATCTCTCCTGCTGTGTCCCGAACTGACAGACTATTTCCACTCCCACCGCACCCCTTCCCCTATCACCCAGAAACATCCCATATCCATGTCCAACGCCACATTTCCTCATCATTTCTGACTGCTCCTTCTGAGGACAGTTATGCGTGGCAAGTCACCATAAGTAACGACGAGTTATAAATATATGTGGAGATTTGTCAAATGGCCAACACTGTTTTGCTATTACTGCTTTGGGCGCGTGGCTGAGGGCTGCCAGTTATGGAGTCTTATTGAACTGCAAGTGAACAGAGGATCACTTTGAAGTCGGTTACCATGTTAAATAAAAATCGGAGCAAAAGTAGTAGTAGTTTGGTTTGATCTGAGACAATTACCTCAAGGGTTCAGGCTGAGGTAAAAATATGTCAAAATGTATTCATGTTGTTCTGAACACCAAATTGTGTTTTCAAGCAGTTTGAAATAGTTTATTTTATTATAGTTTTAGCTCTCCAACTCACCAAAAACGTTCTGCTAATGCCCGGTATTGATATTTTCTCTGTACAAACAGTAGCATGAAGTGCATTATCTTTCTACAACTCAGCTTAAAATGTGAGACTAACGAAAGATAATAATGATACAATGATATCACTACATGCAAATGTACACTTAGGTGTTTTATTTGTTTTTATTATTACAAGCTATGAGCCAATTATCAACATTAAAACAAATAAGTTAAAAACAATAAACCAAACAAAATATATGTCACTGTGTGTTGTAAGTCATGTATTAGTTTCATGTAGTAAGTTTAGAGAAGTGAATTGACTTTTGAACCAAATTTTCTTTCTCAGAGTTTCACCTGCATTTGTTGGGGCCACACCAGCTTGTCAAAGACTGAGATTGCCAGATCTCTGACTATGCAGTGTGGGGCCTGGTTAGTGCTCGGATGGGAGACCACTGGGAATGTGCCCTGTGTCTCCACAGGGCAAACTGTTGTCATATCTGAAATACAGTACATGCATCAGTAGCTGATTAAATGCTTACCCAGACATGCAGCAGAGTGTCCTGATGTGTGTACAGTACAGTCTAATCCTTTCACCATAAGTCATGCTGAGTGTATACTGTACTAAGAGATCATTTCTGTCTTAGTCAGGTGAAAAATACACAATGAGAAATATGAAAAGAGGATTCCTGGAAGCACGAGGATGTGAAAGTCTTTCCTCGGGCTCTCCTGTCTTACATGTCACTTCAGAATCAAGCTCTTAGTCAATGAGCCAATCACTCAATGGGCTGATCATAAGATCACTGTCTCACTCTGACAGAGGATCAATCCTCCTGTCGACTCATTGACTGGCATTGATTGGCTAATGCTGTCGGGAAGAGCTTTATTAAGAAGTCTACTGACATATTTTAAGATAAATAATAGAAAACAGGCTTGTTTATTGACTTTTCCACACAGTGCACACTTGTATGCACCAGCATGCGTGCTAGTTATCAATCAATCACACACATATACAGATGGATCAACTAGGTAAAACCATGGAAATAAATATGTGCAGATGTAACCAGCTGATGAAGCGCCATCCAAGGAGCCATCTGCACCAGGAAAAAAAAAATCATTGAAATGTGAGACAACATTAGAACACAATGTGAGGAAAATAGTACATTATAATTTATAATAACAATAAAAACACAAATATAATAATGATAAAACATGTGTCAACTGAATAAATACATTTTATCAAATGAAATCAAATGAAAAATATTTATAACCAAAATCTTATCTAAAAAGGTGTGTCTTGAGCCTGCTTTTTAAAACATGTACATGAAGTTGAACAACAACACATGAAGTTATGTATTGTTGAGTTTAATTAATTACGTCTGTCGTTCATATTGGTATAAATGCTATCATCAAAGAGTTTTGCAGTATTTCAATATTATTTACCAGTTTTAGCTCGTATTAAAGATAAAAACACTTTCTAGAATCCATGAATTGGAATTGTAACTGTCAAAATTTTGTATTTTCTTGAAAAAACCCCGGCGCCAAAAGGGTTAAAGAGAAATCTAAAAGAGAGTCCGGACTTCATCCTTAGACAGTACCCTCTCATTCTCTGTTTCTGTGTTGTTTAGTTAAACATTAAGTTGCAGTCGTGTATGAAATACTGTATATGTGCTACGGAGATAAAATACTTGTAGATCAATAACATTCATCTAAGTCTAATCTGTCCACTCGTCTTTGCCTTCTAACCTATTAAACACTGCAGGTCTCACCACAGTCCTCACCACCCATCATGTAACCACTCACTGAATATAGATTTATTAAAATGAGACTGGGATCTGTATTCATTTCTTGTCATTAGCCGGAGACACTATTTTGAAGCGCTGACATCGCATACATCGACAGATTCTTCTGACACTGTTATATCTTGGGTGGTATATTTTACAGCGCACCAGATGGAAGGTGTTGTTTTTGTTTTCCAGAATCTTCCACAGAATGATTCACTGAGCTTCCATCAGCGAGCTCAGAGCAGTGTGCAGACGGTGCCACAGAATCCGACCACAAATGGAGCCTCTTTGGGTCGACCCAAAAACAAAACTGTCCTTTTCTTTCCCGTGTTTTTTTCCTCGCCGATGCAGGAGTTTCTACAGTGATGGGGACATTTCCGAACATCGTGGCCATACTTGCATGCAAAAGACAGATGCTGTCAGACCGCTGAAGCTGCACAGGGCAGGGCATGGTTAGTGCTGTGATGGGAGACCTGTGGGAACACCGGGTGCCACAGTGAGGCGGCTGTTATTATGAAAGTGCTAAATTGTTGTTTTGTCATTAGGCAAGACACTTCAACCACATTGACTAGAATGAGTCTGGTGTGTGTGTGTGTGTGAGTGGCTGGTGGTGGTCGGAGGGGGGCACATACTGGTTGCCTCGCTTTTGTCAGTGTGCCCCAGGGCAGCTGTGGCTACCGTGTATGGAGTGACAGAAAAATTACAAGTGAAGCATTTTTGAGTGTCCTGAAAAACACTGGACAACATATCAGAAAATCAAACAATACAAACACAGGAAAAACTTTTCCTGTGTTTGTATTGTTTGATTTTCTGATATGTTGTCCAGTGTTATCATGTGTTTTCTTAAGACTACAACTTTATTACGACTGCAAAAAAGATCGGCGACCCTGGTGATAAATGAATGAATAGCAAACAGTCAAATCGTCTCGTCCATTTTCTCAATTTTTCAATGGTTATGAATCACCAAGCCCCAAGCAGGTTTTCTAATTGGTACTTTGGGAGATTCTGATTTTGCTTCCCCCCATTTCACCAAGAAATATTGGTTTCATTTTGTATATAATTATTGTGATGATAGAATGTCTCTCATGAAATGGATAGTGACACCAAATATAACTATTATTACTAAATATTACAAGTGTTTCAAATTACACCTTTTAAATTACAATTGTGATTCTGTAGAGCCCAAATTAAAACAGCAGTCACCTCAACAGACTTAAAAATTAAAAATTAAAATTCTTCTCTGATAGCAATCAACAACATTCATTCAGATTCCAATCAAATTAACATAAAAAGCTACTTTTTAGATAGAAATATCTCCAATCTCCATCCACTCATATTGTACATATTTTTAGTGGTGAGGGAATCTGGATCAAATAAATGTATATTGTAATGTAAGTCATAAAAATAACAAACAAAAAAGTACATGCAGAGTAATTTTGCTTCCATAACTCAAAGCCGTCAAATAGACTGCTCGGGGAGTTTTAGTGTTAATGTCTGAAAATTGAAGACCCTCCTTTTATTTATAATGTAAAAATGAAAAACGTCAAAATACCAGAAACTTTTAAATAAATGTATATGTATGTACAAAATAACCACATTTATCTTTTGTGCAAGATGTTTAGTCAACTAAAATGCATCGTTACAATCTTGATAATCACTTTTAACGTGACATAAACCATAAACGTCTAAAACATGTCACAGAGATTACTGTAAAGACAAAAGGTGGACCTGAACCCGTGTTTAATGGACACATACCCCCAGTGATGAGGAGAGGCAGGGGGCATGTGAGAGCGGAGCAGAGGGGCCGACCAGATGGAGGCTCTCTCTCCTGGGACCAGTGCCAGAGCCAAATGATGGAAGAAGGTGGGAAGAAAAGGAAAAGTCAATACACGGAGCTGGAGAGAGAGAGAGTGGGGGAGAGAGTGTGTTCAGTTTATGAAGGGGCTGAAGTCTGTGAGATAAAGGTGCCTTCATACACAGGACTAACAGCCAGGACATCTGATGCACAGCAGACATCACAGCTCTGCAAAGTAACATCAGCTTTCATAAGACTGTGTGTTTTTCCCTGTGTCTAGGTGGGTTTCCTCCAGGTGCTCCCGGTGGCAGGGGAAACATTCCCATGGGTACTTTAGGGTAAAAATTTACGATCGTAGAATGGTTTAAAAAGAGAGGCCTTTTTCATTTTACATTTAACAACATGGAGATAAATAAACTGTGACTTTGTGACACTATAGCAACCTACTTTTTCCCTGATGTGAGTATTAACCTTCTCAAATCAAACAAGATGCAATATCTAGAGATTAGATCTTTAAGGTCACAAAGTACTTCTGAAATCCAAAGTTTCATATCAGTGTTGGGGTGTCTTGTGATTCCCCACACTGCCATGCAAAAAAACTCTGCAGACATTGCGTTGTTTCTGCAAAAACTGAAATAAACTTCCAAGCCAATCGTTCCCAGTTATTTCTAACAGCTGCCTCTGCCTTTAATTTTCACAACATGAGTTTCCAGACATTGCAATAATATTTTGTAACACGGTTCAGTCAGAATAAAGTACAGTGAATGCATCGTTGGATAATTATTAAATAGAAAATGGTAAAACCGACTTGAATGCACAAAGAGTTTCTTGTATTCGTTGGATTAAAGAAGCTTTCTGATACAATGTTTTACAAAACAGTA